TTCACTACTCAGTGATCTGTGAGTGGTGTATTTTATAATGTTTCCTGAAATGTTAGTAAAAAGTCAACAATAATACACCAAAGTAGAACAGAATAACGATAGAAACAACCGGAGTAAAAGTCGTAATATTAAAACGACACTTGATGATATTTGAAATCACAACTGGTAAGTACAGCCTTACTATTTTAGTGAACTGAACTTCTATGCAAACACACACACACAGAGAGAGAGAGAGATTGTAAATATATATAAGAAACATTTATCTTGTTACCTAATATTGTACTTTACAATTAATTATTTTTAGAACTAAATTTATCATTTTCTACTGACATAATAACCTTTTTTGTATGGATACTTTGATATTGCCAAACTATCACTAATAATAGGGTTAACACTGTATATTTCATCGATTAACAAACGTACATTTACTACAAACTATGATACGAAATATTGGGAAATCTTTGTAAAGGTTCCAATTTGTTAACTAACACTAGTAGTTTTCACATGATCAAAATAGTATATTTGCATAGACTTTATCAATATCCTGTTGTATTCTATCATTGTAAGATATGTTAAATAGATTTTATTTGAATGACATAAATAAACTCATACCATGTATCTGTACTTCATTGTGCTTGATCTTACTTGGTAGCTAACTGATTGATTGACTTCATTGTGATTAGAAATATTAAAATGAATAGCTCAAGGCTAAATCATTTATATCGTTTTTATTTTCTTAAATTAGATGTATTGGTACACAATTTTGTATGGGTTAAGTAATGATACTTGTTTCCATATCATAATTTATTATCTTATAGTTATGTTCAATGTATATTTAATACTATTAATTTTGTTTAAAACATGTTTGTAATGACTTTCTATGTGATTTTGTATAGTTTAACAACAGAATCCAGTCAAAAGATACGTTTTTAATTTTAGATAGGATTGTCTTCATTGTCAAACTAACTATAGCAACAGTGTTTCAAAGAATAACGCTTCTAGAATTAATGTAGTTATTCATGAGGACTATCTATATATATTGTTACAACAATATAAACTGTGCAATATTTAGTAGCAAAGTTTCACCATGATCATTACGTTACTGTCTTAATAATATTGTTTGTTGTGCTTATATTTTTCAACATCAACTGACATCATTTTAAAAAGGTGTCAAACATTTTAACGTAGATTGATGCCAGTTTAAGATCGCTTACCAGTAAGTATCTATAACATATGATAGAATCAAACAATGGATATATCTAAAACATTCAATAATTATATATTGAATATTCAATATTTTCTATATAGTGATTATCTCTCTAATCTTAGTTATGCTTTTATACACAAAACTCTGAATAAACCATTTTTATCCGATACATTGATGAACGTACGACTGTGGTTTAGATGGATAATTTGTGAAAATTTACTCAGTTTACGAATAGGGTTCACAACAGTCGTTTAAAACGCACAGTAATCATAACAATTGGGGTCTTACTCAATACAAAATAGTATGTTCAGTATATTGGACAACTTCTTATAAAACTGATATGAAAAATACCATAGGTGCATATTACATATATATATATATATCAACTTCATTTTATATAACTAATATACTAAAGTCGGATAGTATCGTAGATGTCTTATTTGGTACTTGTCTGCGCGATATACCTGCATTCTAGTGTCCATCTTCACATAGTTATTCAAAGGCAATATTTTTCACTCAAAATACCTGATCATTATTCATTGTGGTATTAAATTCAGATAACCATTGACTAGTATCATTGAAATGAATTTAATTTGTAACAAGTAATATTTATTTTAATAGTTAAGATCATGAGTTAATTGAAGCTAGACTTCTATGGAAAACCTGGAAGCACTGGATTACTGGCTTAGTGATCTAATGGTTAAGCGCTCGCGTGCGAGACTAATAGGTCTTGGGTTCAAATCTCGCAAGGCGGGATCGTGGATACTCACTGCCACTGAAAAGTCTAACAGTAGGACGAAATTGCCGTCTAGTGTTTCCAAGTTTTCCATGGTAGCCTTACTTCAATTGACTCTTGATCTCATCTATTAAAATTACTATAATATTCACAAAAAAACACCTTGTGATATGAATTAATATTTACTCATTGTTTCTATTAATGCCTGTTAATTAATCAATCTTTGATAATATGTATCCATTTACTTAGTATCCTATTTCAATATATTACCAACTAGTTACAATTGTGTAATAAATTTAAGTTATATATATAGGTTTCAAATAAAACAATACAAAATAAATAATACAATATCATTATAATGTCTATATTATAATTTACTTCATCTCATAGACGAAATCAATTTGTCATTTGAAAGTGGAACAATTAAATTCCAATAAATATAATCTCACAGGGGGCGAGGTCGTGGATGCGCACTGATGAGGAGTCCCACAATAGGATGAAACGGCCGTGCAGTGCTTCCAGGTTTTCCATGGTGGTCTAGCTTCAACTGACTCATGATCTTAACCATTGAAATTATGTGAATAAATAATGATTGTTTAAATAAATAGACAAATGTTGTTTTACAATTATTTCCAGGCATTAATACTACTATTACTATTACTACTACTAGTAATAATAATAATAATAATAATAATAATAGCTCCTTATTCCTCCAGTGTTTATTTTACAGTAAATATTTGTAAATTATCAGTAGTATAAATCATCTAATACGAAGTTTGATCATTTATGTTTATTGATAAAAGATATTTTCACATATTTTTGACAATGTTTTTCTGATCTGAATTTTGTAAAATGGCATGATAATATTATGTTATACAATTTTGTAAATCATTTATTTCTATGCTTATGTTTACCAACTTATTTATCTAATTTATTTGAACACATAAATATTGGTACAAAGGGGCACCAAATAGATATACACCATATAAATTATTCAACTTGTATGAGGGCTGGTATACTGCCAGGGTGCCCAAACCGGAGCAGGTGGTTTTCTTAGGGTGCCACACCTGAAGCCTTTGACCTAAAGGTCTGATTCACAAGGCAATGGAGCGACGTAAGGAGATGCAGTCTCATGGTAACTGGTGACGAACGATTGGTTCATACGCCATTTGTTCCCGCAGGATACTGGAGCCCATGTACACCATTGGTTTGGAATCAGGGTTTTCCAACTCCCCTAAGTTGAACTCTCTGTATCCACCAACCCGGTTAAAGCGCCGGACACTCGCTTTCCGTCCTCTCAATTTCGTAAACAACAGCTGTGGTTTGAGAAGGTAATAAGTAGGACTTTGCTGTTAGTGGTTGTATACGTGTGGCCATGTGAGAGCATTGCGAGAGGGAGAGATAACATTTGGAGGCATTACCAACTAGGCTATTCCATACACCGGACGATTATAGTTTTATTTACGTAGTTTGTGCTGAATTTTTTCTTGGTCTAGTTGATTAGTGTTAGCCAGTTAATCAGTCAGTTATCATCGATTTAGATCGTGCGACAGATTTCATACCACAATTGATATGATGTGATGAAATGAATTACAATCATAATAAAAACAAGTGAACATTGAGAATGTCTAAGAGAGATTCGGTGAAAATATATACGTAAAAGAATTCTTAATTGTAAGATTGAAAAGAAGGTCAAGACTAAATGTATTTGTGCCATTATGGACGATTCTAAGCTATGTCAACTAAATAAAGAATTCACTGTATGATCTATGATGATTATGCATCGTCTCCAGTTGTCCCGCTTCCTATCAAGTTGCAGTGAGAGAGACGACCAACAAAATGAAAATTAAAGAAAGAGAATTTGATCTTAACTTCACTGTAGTTATAACAATCGAAATATAAAATAGACTTCTTCTGAACTATCTTCGTTAGTGGTTTATGGATTTTTTAAAAATGTTTTCATAATAAAAACATCGGTGCTAACCTGTATGAACAGCTGTAGGGCTGATAATTTACACTGTTTAATCACTTTAGTCAGTGATCACTGTCACGATTGTCATGTCTTCAGTATTGCTGACAAAGTCGAATTATATAAACCTAATTGCTTACTGAAGTTTGATTTTGGCGGTTCATTTGAAATTCAGAGCTTGACTAACATGATTTCAATTACTATACACTGAATAAAATGTTGTTCTGAGTGATATATATATATATAACTATTAAGAAACCAAAAGATAGCATCAGTTCATGAAGTTGTCTACTCTTGAACGAAGCTACACAGTTGAAATCCTCATGAATTATGTAGCTAGTGTTTAAAAATGTTAAACATCATGACTCAGATTCATTCATAGCAATTTAGATTCATTGAGTTCTTGTCTTCCTCTCCGCCTTGAATTCCATTCTTTTCCCATTTCCACCAGTCTATTCTATTTTCTCAAATTATATTAGAATCATTCAGTCATCTTTTTGTCATTCTTACTACATAATTTTAATCTCACTGTCAATTCATTTTGTTAACTTCATTCTATCATGGTAGTTATAGTATGGCAACTTAAACAAACGCACTTCTACACCAGACTCAACATAGACAATAACTAATTAATTGATTAATCGAATATATTTACTTACAACATAAATTGTTTAATCTGTCAAAAAGCAAGGGTCTACCTCAGTACAATGGAAGATGGTCGCGCAACTTCGTGAATTGGTTGTGGTTAGACATTAACACCATTGGATGCCGGCTAAGTGGTCCAGTAGGTTAGGCGTTCGCGCGCGAGACTGAAGCCCTGGGTTCGAATCCCTTGAGCGAGATCATGGATGCACACTGCTCCAGAGTCCCACAATAGGACGAAACGGCCATCCAGTGCTTCCAGGTTTTCAATGGTGGTCTAACATCAATCGGTTCATGGTTTCAATCAAAAGCTTAACAATCTCCACAACCACTAAACTGATAAAAAAACACTTTTGATTAAGTTTGTTTTTCTTTCTGTCCAAATTTGTTTTCCTTTTACAATAACACTTTTCACTTATTTCTCTTTTTTATTTTCTATTTCATAGTTAGTTGTTAATTTTCGCAAGAAAACTTCATTAGCCTCATCATCAATTGCACCAATAACAGTAACAATACAAAAAGAATTACAAGAATCAAGTTATAATCATCAAAAAAATTTACAAAATGATTTTTCTCTTAGTAACATTAATGATTCTTCATTAACTACAATTGGTTTAAATCAAGTCAAATTTAATTATCCTTTTGGTAATGATAAATTCGAAAGGAATCAAATGAATAAACACATTACAACAACACCTGTTTGCTGTTCTTTATATAATCAAACTTCAGTAAACATATCATCGTCGACTTTATTATCATCATCATTGTCATCATCTTTAACTTCTTGTTCACCCTCAATGACTGGTAGAATTATATGCGATACAGGCGTAACATACGTTCAGTTACCATATTCACAACGTGAGGAAAAACAACCATTTCCAATACTTTCTTCAATATCATCAATAGAAACATCATTACCATCATATTCACAGCCACCTAAACCTCCACATCGTCATCCTATATTGTCTGCATTATCAGAAAGAATATGTTTAGAAGGAGAATCTTGTGATTGTTTTTTACTAAGAAAAAATGATATGAGCAATAAACAAGCAATGTTGACTAAAGATAATGAATTTAGAATCAATCAAACAAATCAAGATCAAAATATTCCGCCTACAGTTCATTGTCCACATAGTGCACATCCTGTTACAACGCTAATTGGTAAGTTGATAATTATCTATCTGTAACTAGCATTAAAATCCACAAAGTATATTTCGTTCTATTTAAGACTCATCAGCTGAATGTTTGGGGTTCAAGTGTTGACGTTCACTATGGGACACAACCTTAGTAACTTTTCACCTGTTAACCTTAGTAGTGGGGCATAGGCCATCCACCTCTGTCCTTGGCTCTCCTACAAGCTGTTGCCGATTGCTATTCATTCTTTTGATATCTGCTTCCAATTCCTGCTTCCGTGTGATTTCTGATTCGCCCCTTTTCCTTTTACCTTTAGGATCCAAATCTAGGGCTTGATTCGTGATACAGTTCGGAGATTTCCTTAATGTGTGTCTTATCCACCTCCACCGTCTTTTCCTGATTTCCAATTCATCTGGAAGCTGGTTTATTCTCTGCTCATTAATGATCCATAGTGTAGCGATATAGTCGGTACTTAGCCGATCTTTACAGCCTGGTGATCTCGAGGTCGGGCAACTACTTAATCTTTCATCCGGTTCGACGACACTCTGCTGAAAATGTTTCTTGTTAGTGATTGTAGTGCGGTGTCTCCGTTTTTCTCACATCTGCTCAGATCTTCTTTCCTTGGTATCTTGGTGAGGCCTCCTTCTTTTCAGTCTGTCGGCAATTTTTCTTCCTCCTAAATGATCCAGTATAGAATTTGGAGCGTCTTTGAAGTAACTTCTGTCTGACTTCAGTGGTCCAGATGGTATGTTGTCTGGTTCAACTGCTTGCCACTCTTGATTTCTCTGATGACCATCCTAATTTCGTTGGTGGAGTGACATCTATAGGAATGTCTATGTGTGCTGCTTTGATGTCCGATGGGTTCAGTGGGACTGGTCTATTCAAGAGTTGTTGAAGGTGCTCTGCTTACATGTTCCACTGTTTTTGAATCTCGGTAATTGGCTTGCTTTCTTTATCCTTCACTGGTCTCTGGTTTACTGTCCTTTACTGTTAGTTTCTTCGTTATATTATATAGCGATCTCATAGATCCTTCTCTTACAGCCTTTTCCGATGTTATTTTTAGGTCTCTCACAAATTTCTAGTTGTCAGCTCTAATGCTACTCTTCACTTTCTTGTTTGCTATTTTGTTAGTTCTTTCCAGTTCTTCATAGTTTACCTACTGACAGATCAATGTAATGAAAATTTCTTTAGAAATTAAATCAGACGTGTAAGATAAATGTTTTAGTGACAATTTTATTGAAAACAATATTCATTAAGAGATCAGAATAAATTATTTTTTATAAACTATTCAAATTAAGCGATAAATAATAATGATTGTCATTGAAAACAATCACTGATTACTTCTCAACACTTAAACATACATTCATATATTTCCATGTCGGCATTACTTTCGTTAGTATGTATAGATTTGTGTGTGTGTGTGGGTGGGTAGGTGATTGAGAGGGAGAGAGGTGAAACAGTAGTTCCCAGTTTGTTCAAGTTAAATTTGATAATCGCTATTCTATTATTTTATTATTTTTTTTTGAAAAAGTCACATATCAACAAACCAATTTGATCACAATTGCCTAATACTATTGTCTTACTCTTCATAATCTAACATAGTAGAAATATGTAACATTATAAATTGTGTAAAATTAAAGCAATCTATTTTATATGCACTGATATTTGATGTTTTAATTTCTAACTCAGAAAAAAGGCATCTGTTATGTCATTGATTGGTTTACATAAGAATATTATAGGAGAGAACTTGTCTTGATCTTAGGTTATGGCCTTGACACGACTGGTTCATCCTTGAAGCTAGAAATATGTGAGTTCAAATTAAGACGACAATTGTTCTATCACCTGACTGGTTGACAAGCGAGAGATAAAGAGAAGATAAGTCAACTGAAGCATCATTCGATTTATTCCTGATTCCCGATTCAGATCGATGTAAGAAGAGGTCTCAATATATCGATTACTAACAATATCACAACGCACAAACAATTAGAAAAATACAATTGTGTTCAAACTGGGTATTAGACTAGACAAATAGAGTACAAAAAGGTTACATTTAAATCACAATAGCTTTTAAACAGAAAAGAGTATGACAATGAATCATGCATCATACGAAAGCTTATGGTTTATAGTATATAACTTAGGGACCAAACTAAATATTGGTATTTTACAAACTTGAATTCAGTAGAATAATGTTCCCAAAAAGTAACTTTCATTATTTATCATAACTGTTTTGCTTCTCTGTTCTCATATCAACTTTATATAACCAACATTCCATTCTTCATTATTCTCAACCAGATTGATTAATTACAAGCCTCATTGGTTTGATAAGATTTACAAATAACATTAGTGTCACAAAAAATTTCAATTAATCAATCATAAAAATGTTTATACGATACAATTACAACTACAACAACTACTACTATCAATAGTAATAGTAGTATATAACATTACAATCTAGTAGTATATTGTATAATTAAATAGAACAATAATTCGTTATGATATATATATGTATTCTGAATAAGATTGTTTATCATTTCTGATAATAAATAACAAAAGACAATGGAATCCATTAATGTAAACATTGTAATGATAAATGACAGCAGATATATAAACTCATTGTGTACATTTGAAACTTCAGTCAAATATTACTTTCATATCAGAATGGTTTTTTGTGGATGATAATATAGTAATTTCAATAGTTGAGATCATGTTAAGTCCCGATAAGCATAATAATAATAATAATAATATGCGTATATTTTTATCGTATAATTGTTGGTTCATAAATGGATCCCAAAAGTTACCATTCATTATGCTTATCGGGACTTAACAGATCATGAGTTAATTGAAGCTAGACCACCATGAAAAACTTGAAAGCATTAGATATATGAATTGATTTTTCAATCAATTAATCAATAAAATTCATTATTGTTTTGTTAGTTTTAATGATGATATCAATTATATTAAAGTTTATGGGTGATAGCTTTTTACATTAAGTTTTGAATGTACATTTCTACTAGATTGGTCAACAGATACACAGTTTTTTGTGCATAGAACTTTGAGACGGTTATGAAATAATTACAAATGTAAACTCTTTTGATAGGATAAAATGGATTACGTGATAATATTTCAATTTAAATGTAGGAATTACTCAATATAGCACATATAGCATTCAACTGTCGTAATTCATTATAAAATTCGTTTTTGTATACCCACTATTAACAGTTGTGTATGCAATAGTCACCTTCATTAAAGTGTTAAACTAACTTGTTTAGAATCATGACAAATTTCACTACATTGTAATTATATATAAGTTAAATCTAGATGATGGGTGTTACAAATTTCTGATTAAGCTGAGAATACGTTTTAAATACATTTACAAAAAATCACAGTCAAAGTTTTGATATGGAATAATGCTGGAATTCAGGATGTATGTATCTGAACCGTTGTACAAACCATTAGATTTTCTGGATTCAGCTTATCATTGGATAATGGACTAGATATTTGATATACAAAGTACTGGATTTGGGTCTCAATATGAATATGAATATATGTGCATGTACATCCAAATAACGATTCCTAACTAGTACGAAACGATTATCCTAGATTCCACTATACTAGCCACTATTTAAACATTGCTTAATAATTCATGTAACTAAATTGCACTAACGACATAATCCCCTCAGGATTCGAATACGTCAAGAGAGACTGATTAATTTCAGTCCATAACCTGAATAATGGCAAGATTTAAAATCCTACAAGCAAAACTTTATTGATTTTCTTTTGAACATGAAAAAATGATAACCAACTTTTTTTATTTAAATGTAAAACATTTACTATTGAAATAAATACGAAGCTGATAAATATAGTCATGTTTCATTCTGTGTACAATCAATAAACTCATGGTGCTATAGTTCCATAGCCTAGTTACCTAATCTTAACAATATTGTTTTGAGGCTTGAAATTCATTAGAAGCTTTAAGATTTAAGTAGTTCAGTGTAGAATAGTTAGAATGATTGCATGTGAATAACACGATAGTGTGATTATAGTTTTCAACAAAATCACAATAATACAACATTCAATGCTAGCGCAAAACTGAATACCATTTATTCATTTTACGGTGGAGGTGTTGATATACACCATTAAGGAATCACATGTTAAAATTAGTCTATAATGTTAACTAGTGGGTTGGAGAATGCTGGTCGGTGGCCTATGCTCCATTGGGAGTAACAGGCGTAAGTAAGTAATGATGTTAACTGTGATATATTTCAATAAATGGGTTTTGAAGATTAGTTCATTTTGTAAATAGTTCTCATGTTCTTTATTTATATTAACTAACTTTGATAGAATAAACCGGTAAGATATTGACAGAATAATTGGTTGAAGTGTGAATTTCTTTTCTGAAGAATAATGCATACACCATTTGTGTAAAAAAAATGTAGCTTACATTTCTAAATATTAATTAAACTGTGCTACAAATCAATAAAATAATATGAAATATTATGAAGATATCAATATTTCAGATGGGTTTTGTGGATATTATAGTAATTTTAATGATTAAGATCATGAGTCAATTGAAGCTAGACCACCATGGAAAACCTGGAAGCACTGGACGGCAGTTTCGTCCCATTGTGGGACTCCTCAGAAGTGCTCATATCAACATTTGTCGACTTCATTTGTTTGTTATTTAAAGGCTAGTTCACATTCACGATGAATACTGCCAGAATAAGTTTATTTAAACTGGAAATTATTCAAGATTATCTTTTGATTATTTCATGACAGCCTTGTTACCATAAGTAAATAAATAAATAAAACTTTGGTTCTGATAAGACAAATACGAGTGGTTATGCTATTTTAATAATTCTACAGTAAACAATATTATCTTCTAAGTTATGATGTAGTTTACAGTTTATGTTCCGATGTTAGGTGGTTGGAGATAGTCAGCATAAACAACTGAATCAAAATTACTAATGATTGGCACTCGTCAGCGAAGTATACCTAAATGCACGGGAAAAGCTAATATTTTCCCTCAG